CCAAATTGGTGGGAGTGAATAGCTTGAATTGTTTTGGCATGAAACGTTTCTATAGTGTACTGCGCGCTCTTTTTTGATCTAAATAGATGCACTCACTTGCTGCAGTAACTTTTTTTCCTACACCGGGAGCACAACTTCAATTCCTTTTTCTTTACATTCCTTTTGCAAGCCTTATTTCCACACCTGGTGGTTGGGAGATTGGTGCATAGCTGGTAGCAAAGCGTCGCGTAATCTTTCAGTGGGATGTCGACAGGTTTGAAGAAACAAAGTCTTTTTTCTTCAGCATCTTGTGCTAGTTCATAATATTTCACTACGTCCTCTTTGTTTTGTGTTATGAAGGCAATATATGCAAGATAATAAAGTGCATTCGGGTATGTCTTGCAGCAAGGTGGGGCCTCAGCTAGATATTCCCTCAATATGTTCACTACAGCATCTTTTAATGATTCAGTGGTCCAAGATGCATACTTGCAAATTTTCCTATTATCAAAAGCTCTGTCTTCACGACTAGGCTTTGACGGTTCATCTTGGCTGCAAGGAGCAATTTTAATAGTTATTTTCCTTTCAACGGCCAGCCTAGATAAATACTGCATCAGTAACGAATACCCGAGAGCTCTTTTAGCGTCATAGTAATGCGGGCAGCACTTAAGAGAATTCTCAAGAGCTTCTGCTGCTAGGTCATGGCATTGTCCGAGTATGGTATAGATCAATCCTAAGTGAAAATACAAAACATGAAGCCAGCTGCTGTATTTATCATCAAACTTAAAAGGATCTTTAGGATTAGGCCTGTTTGTTTCAGTATTTTCAATGAAATAAATCAAGTTCTTTAAGCAAACGACTTTCTTCAAATCAACTGTGTCGCTGTTTTGAGAAACGTGTTGCCCAGAATGATGCAAAGCGTATGACAAAAGGAGACCTTCGTAAAACTAAGGATTCTTTTGCAAGCTCTTCTCGCAAAGTTCAAATACCCGAGAGAAAAAATAGTCATTCACTGGAAAAGCTTGTAGAATAGAATTTTCAGTCAAGTACCCATGAGCTATAAGGGAAATTCCTCTTTCATTGCTAAAGTTACTCTCGTAGAGAACTTCAAAGCCTTGTTTCACCAGCTTGAAAGCTTGAAGATAGAGTCGTGCTGTTGGGGACCTTTCCGTAAACCGGCTAAGCATTTCCTCTGAGAATGCGACCGGTTGTCGCATGTGAAGCGGGTGAAAATTTGCTTCCAATCTCTGAATCATTTTTTCACTCAATATGCTAAAGGATTGCTCCAGAACTATTTCTTGGGGATCTAATGCTGCACAAGGTGGGTCCTTACTCTGTGCGCACTGCTGAAGAAGCCGGAAAACAACGATAGTAGTAATTAGCTTTGTCATTATCAAGATGCTTGGCATGGAGAACGGCAGAATTAATCCATATGTAAATATGTAAGTGTGCATGTTGTGGTTCAATTTTATCCTTGGTTTAAATATTATATGCCTTTGTTTTGGAGTATGGTAATGTATGACAAAGGAAAAAAAAAATTAAACCAGGGATAAAACTGAACCACAACATACACATAAGTGTATGATAGAAAGCTGATAAACATGAACAAATGCCAATGAGTATAATTTTGAACCAAAAATCAGCATATATAGTACTTAAATGAAAAGACAATGTAACGTATGACTGAAAAAAAATAAAGTAAAATAAGGGACTGTTTGGGGATGGAGGCTGGGGGTTTGGCATCATGTTTTGCAACAAAATCCCCCTCTCCCTCCCGCCTCCAATGAAAATTTTAAAAAATAAACACCCATCCACCAAGGAGGGAGTCCCTGAGGATGGCTCCTTGTCTTTCTTTAATTCCTTTTATAAGCACCCATGCTATAAAAAGCTAGCACCCTCTCACAAGCACCACCACAAAGGCCATCCCTAAAAGGGAGCCTAAGGAAAGAGCTTTTCAAGGGACGTATGTCAACAAATTACAAGATAGACTTTTTGCATTCTTGGGTAGTGGTTTTGCCCAAACCTTCAGTCACATCATCTCTAGAAGAGTAAAGACACTTAGCAATACAAAATTCGTTATTGTCAAGCAGGTTGAAAGGGAAAAGGCCTCACTTCTGGTAGATGTGCACCACTCAAAATGTCTCCATTTGCTTAAGCTCCTCCCTATGACCAAACAAGCACGCCTTTTGAACAAGCACCCCTTCCTCTCTCCCCTCACTTTCTTAAAATTGTAGGGATACAAGGAAAACCTGTTTCTACTTCCAAGTTACTGATGATAGAATCAATATTAATTTTGATGATGATAATTAGATAATCAATGAGTATTTTCATAAACATGCATTCCAATGCATGTGTGTAAAGTGCATTGTGGGAGTATGGCACGCTTGACTATCAACAACTGATTTAACAAATGAAAGACATAAATATTAACTTTAGGTTCATGTGGATAATGTTGTAGTTTTTGTTTTTTGATAAAAGATTTAGACAGAATATGGTTATAATTCATCGAAAGATAACCTTAATAAACAAGTCCCCTGATTAAGCACCCTCCTTCCCATAAGTGCTTCTCCTTTTAACCAAAATTTTAAATAACCACCTTAGGGGCTCATTTGAGGAAATATGGTATTAGAAAATAGATCCTCCTTTTTTTTCCTCTCGTGGCCTGTCACCCCATCCCTCCCTTCCTCATCAGTTTAAATGCAGTCCTGTGGTAAAATCTGCCCAAGCCCTTTCCTCGCACCGGTTGATTGGAATACCTTGTCACTTAATATTACAAAGACAGAGACAGGAAAAAAACTAATCCTGGTCATGATCAAACACAACTTTCTCTGTGGTTAAAATTGGCTTCTCTATGATACTCAATTCAACAGAGTTCCAAAAACAGCTGCTCCAATAGCCCCACCCTAAAGACACAGGTTAAAAAAATATATATTTGATTGAGGTCATTTTGTAGTTTGTTTGAGTGGCATTTGAGTGTTTATAACAAAGATGTCTCTTAAAATGAAACAAAAATTTAATAAAATGCGCTTCATAAAATAAATGCACTTTATTTGGATCTATTTGAGTGTCAATGTAATAGTACAAAAGTACTGATTGAGGACACTGTTTTTACGTCTCATACTGGAGACGGGACTGCCATTTTACGTGGTTATTCCAGCCACACGAAGGTCTGGCAGTTTGCAGGGGAAAGGAAGTATCTATAAAACTTGTACCCCCTTCCCTTTTTGCCATCACAAAAACATGTACCCCCCCTCCCCCTCCATTTTACACTGCTGTTAAAAATTTCTCTCTTACAAAAAGTGCCATCCATGTTTTATCTAACTCAGAGTATGGTTCTTACACTGCTTCATTATTTGCCAAACTCAAGATTTTAGAAACATTTTTGGTATTTCTATGTTACATGTTGCTAAATTTATGTTCTGCTATCATCATCATTTGATGCCTTCTTCTTTTCTGAACCTATATTATAACTGGTGTCCAGGTACACACATCACCAGAATTGTAATAAATTGCAGACCACACTTTGGTCAAACAAATATAAACAGTTTATTGTTTTATACTTGGGTCTTGAAAAAATTTGGAATTCCCTTCCATTATCTATTTCAAGTTCCACAACTTTTTTAATTTTAAAAAATATCTTCATGACTTTGTTTCTTACAAAAACTGACTAAGTCTATTATATCCTGCTACCCTTAGCCCTATATTATTTCAATTCATTATGACCAAATTATGGGGAACCCCCTTGAACAAGGCTTTCTGAAGTCTCCTCATCACTAAGTGTGGATTTCATGAAATCGAGGTTTGTTAAAACGAGGTTCTGTTCGAAACATTTTACTGTAATTTTGGCTAGGCTGAAGAAAGTAGTTTGTTATACTGAGGACTTTGTTATATAGAGGTTTGTTAAATGGAGGTTCCACTGTATGAATTTTTTTCTCAAATTGAATGTAAATTTGCTGTAATCTTATAAAATATAATAATTATATGAATAAATAAATAAATAAAATAATACCCCCTACCTCAAACTCAAAACGCCAACTTCCTGTTCATGAGTGGAGGTATAATCATTAAGGGGATTCTGATTCACAATGGCCAAATTATAAGGATTAATGTATGTGAATTTCATGTAAGATCAATAAAATGGGTAAAACGCATAAAAACAGCCATTTAAGTGTACATACCTCATAAAAAGATGTCCCTGTATTGTTTACTTTACACTGTTTCCTGCCATATACAAACATTTTAGCAAGTTTTGGTTGGTGTGAAACCAACACATCAAAACTTGCTAATTAAAAGTGACATTTTTTGTACAACAGGAAACAGAAAGAAAACAGCAAAGAGATATCTTTTTGTGAGGTATGTACACTTTAATGGCTATAACTATGTGCATAAGTTCCTATTCATCCTCATAATTTGGGTCCTGTAGGCTGTTGTTAATCTGCAAAAAGTAAAATGGCAACTTGTTGGTTGGATGTACATCCTTTCTAAAAAATAAATTTCAGTTTGTTGCCCTGTGTATCTGTAAATAATTAAAAGCCAGTGTGAAAAGATGGTAGTGAGCAGTGATTTCTCCAGGTCTGACGCTATGCAACAGAGAGAGAGAAACCACTGTGAGCAACCATTTGCTTGGCATCACACGCAGACATCTTTGTCCTTCCCCACAAATGCCTGCTAGCTCAACCAAGAAGAACATTCCTTTCCAGGATGCAAAGTCAGTCAGTCTTACAGCTTGCCATTTGGGCAAGCTGTAGTTAGCATGTACTAGCCCAAGAATCATTTTAACTAGAGTGAAAAATAATTTGATGAGCAGGATTGATAACAGTTCTTCAGCTGTAATTTGAATTCCCCAAAAATTTAACTTGCCAGTCGGGCAAGTTAAGAACAGAATTTACTACCCCAATAGCAAAATCCACTAGCTACAGGCTATTGGATGTGACTTTCTTTGCACACTGCTTTTCTAAGCTTAACCAATCACATTGCTGTACTTTCCACATTCTGCAAGGTTGACCTTGACCGCAGGGAAACCTGATAATAACTTGATCTGCATGAAACACTGGAAAAGCTTTAGACTTTAGAGCAGCAAAAGTAAGATTTAGTCAGAGTTTAGAATACCCGTGCACTGCATAACCTTATTGAAGGAAATCAATTCTTAGCTTTTACAGTTTTCAGATGATGAATTATTGTATATTTTTAGCTTTGAATTTTAAATTTTTATAATATAATTTTTTGGGGGGAATTTTAAATTTTAAATATTTGGAATATAATTAGGGCTGTGGAAACCTGTAAACTAGCCAATAGCTAAGAGTAATATCTGTATTAAATAAAGTATCGTATCGTATCGTAAAAGATAGCAAGTCTTGTGAACAAAGGATTGATGAAATAAGAGCAATTACCGTAAAAATCTGAAAATAAGCCCTGGGGCTTATATTTTTTTTGAGGGGCTTATATTAGGAGGGGCTTATCTACGGAAGGAAATTTGTGTTTAAAAATCAATTTGGCTTGCCTTATAAATAATGGAAGGAAATTTTCCGTATTTGCCTTGTTTTACTTTGTATTTGAGGGCAATTTCCGAGTACAAGCCACCCGAGGGGATTTTGGAGGGGCAATTTAATGGAGGGTTTTTTTGTATTACGAGTTTGGGGGGCTTATAATTATTTGGAGGGGCTTATACATGGAGGGGCTTATTTTCGGAATTTTACGGTATTATTCATTCAAAATATTTCCCTGATTCTGATTGGCTAAAAGCACACATTTAATTCACCATAACCAGTCACTGATGACCAAATTTGGAAGAATTTTGTTTTTAGCGAGGAAATGACGTCAAAAATGCAGCGTTCTTGCAGGTTAATACACCGTTAACCGAGAAGACCTGGGGACCAGGTTGAGTTGTCTTGGTTGTGAACTTGAAAAATGGCGGACATTTCACTCATTTCAAGAGTAAGAACTAGGCGAAAAATAGCTAAAGACATGACACGAACAGCAAGAGGACAACTCAAAGGGCGACGTCTGCTATTTGGAGAATATTTGTGGAGCTGAACAACCCTAAACGTGCACTATCAAAGATGAACTTATCATCGATGGATCGATGGAGGCAGCATGTTTTAGCCATGTTTTTAAACTAGGAATAAATAATGAATAATAAAACATTTGAAGAATTATGGAGATCTCGGAGGGTGTTATCCATAACACCCTCCTCGATCTCCATAATTCTTCATAAGATACACAGCCTCATTCATTGACTGTTAAATAATTCACCTCTTTCGCGCTTAAATCGCCCTTCTCAGATGCTTTATTGAGCCATCTTCTCGCTCTTGGCAAATCTATCAACTGCTCGCAACCTCCAGTGAAGTAGATCTCTCCGAGGATAACCTGTGCCTCGGTATCACCCTGTTCAGCCGCTCTGGTCAAATAATAAACAGCTTTAGTTGGTTGTGGTTGACCTTCCGGACAATCACCAGCGACGTAGTTGAGGTACAAAAGTTTCAGAGCCGTTTGTTTTTCACCGCCAATAGCGTTTTGCATTCGTCTTAACGTGTTACCGAACAAATCTGTTCTAACTTCACTTTCAGATAAATCTTCATCAGCCGCTTTTTTAAGCCATTTAAAAGATTCCTTGAGGTCTTCGCTCACGACTCCTTCAACTCCAAGACGATACATTTCTGCAAGATTTATCTGTGAGCTTGTGTTACCCAGTCTCGCTGCTCTATGGTACATCTCGTAGGCTTTTCGCCGGCATACTAC